TTCATACCACCTTTTTTACCTTTTCTCTCTTCCTCCCCCCCTAGACTCACATACCCCCTTCACCCTGGAAGGTCGAGAACAGCCGAGACTCCCTTCACCTGGGGAGAGCCCGGCTCCCCCTATCGCACCTATGCTTGCGATCCAACCACAACTCAGCCATATTCAACTATATTAGTCCTAAACGTCCGCAGCATAACCGCCGTCACTTCCACCCAGCTGCACCCTAATTCGCAAAGTCAGCCACCGCCACTCCGTCGCACTCCCGAAAATTCCACCATCGACCCACCGTCGTCTCGCCAGCCGATGATTCCCCCAGTAATCTGCTTGTTCGTTTTCTTCCTTTTTATTAGTTCTCACTTCTCCCTCCATCATTTCCTATTTTCATTCCCGCACTCAACCGTTTATCGTTTGGTCATGTTTGATTTCCCATTTTTATCGCTTCTCTCTGCTGCCAGTAACACTCTTGATCGAATGTTTACATACTAGACGATGTGAATATCTTCTTCTACTGTTGCACCGCTTTCTCCAGTTCCGCTATCAGCTTGTAAACCCATTTTTCTAGGATTAATCTGTTTCCATTTTTCCTCGGCCGGAGTGTCGTAGCGCCACCGTGTGTGTTACCCGATGGTTTTGTACCGATGTTTTGTACGTTTCCGTGAGCCATTTCGCAAAACAGTGTTTTTGTCTTGTTTGCGATTTGCATTCAACAAAAGAAGCTGCCAGCTGGCAGCCTTCCGAACTTCCATCTAGCTCCTTTCGGAACGCCAGTTGTGATTGAGTTGTAAGCCGGAGAACGCGGCGTTTTCGTATGTTTGTTGAAGTTTCGCCGGAGAGTCCGGCTTGGGAATAAAGCAATTAATCCATCCGTGTTTAGCAGAAACACGGTAATCAAAAATCCACTATATCCCAGCACACAGAAGAAAACTCTCTCCGCCAAGCATTCTCAAGCATAGATGCGATAAGTGGAGGAATTTCTCTGACCCCCCCCCCCCCTCACTTTAGGGCCGGCATCTGACTGGCCTCTTTACCTGAGGTTGTGACTAGAATCAAGGCGTAACGGCATCAAACAGCTGCTACAACGGCATTTTTGTTTGGAAAGGAAACGCCAGCCGCTCTTCTCTTTAGACATCAAGACTGCAAGAGAGTATCGAAGCAACAGCGTTTTGCTGAAAAAAATGCATGCTTGAGACTTTCTGCGCACTCAAAGTGGCACTGTTAACGAAACATAATCAAAAATTAAAAGCACTCATTCTTGGAATAACATTGTATCAATGAATACACACTGTAGCAAGAAAGAGTTGAGCAAGAGTAGAAAATCTGGACTAGCTAGTGATGGATGCATGTTTGCTGACAAGAATCGTACCATATCTCCTCTACTAGAGTGAATAGAGAGAATAATAACAAATAAAAAAGCAGTTAGATTACTCGTTTCTCGAGCTTTCGAATCATATATAGAAGTTCGAAAAAAACCTTTTTGGTTTGAAACGATAATTACCCAGAATAGGCTGATATTGTAGCTAAATAAAACTGCTCGTATCTCGCCTCACAGAAAATCTAGGAAAAAAGAGACGGTCAACGTGGATTCCTCGTGTTCTTAGCTTTCGAATGGTGTACAAATTGTTAGTGCACAAAGCTTTCCCAGACCAAAAAAGTCTTGCTCCGCCAACCTATAGAAAGCCGGAGCGGGGTGGAGCAAGTTAGCCCGCAAAAAGGGATTCGACGTAGACCGTCTCCTTTACTCTAGCTCCCCTCTATTCAGATATACATGGCATTTTAGCTAAAAACATGTGTGTTTTTAAGAAGAAATTTTTATGAAAAGAGTGATTGAAAATGCCCAGTTGTCTAACCCTTTTATAGAGCATGACTTCGCCAGTAAACGTAGACCATCTCTTTCTTTCTAGATTTCCTCTTTCTTTCAGAATTGGAACGACAAGTGATTGCATAAAATCAGCGCTGAAACTAGATATGATTTTTTATATCTGAATTCAGGGGAAAGCTGAAAAAAAGAGACGGTCTACGTCGATTCTGTATGCACCAAGCCTTCGAATGGTATGTCGACTGATGAAACATAAAGCTTTCTGAGTCAAAGAAGTCTATTGGATGACCTTTCAAAGCCTACGTATTGAGGAAATCTTCTTCTGATGAAACATGAAGCCTTCCTGAGTCAAAGAGGTCTGTTGGATGACTTTCCAAAGCCTAAGTATTGAGGAAATCTTTCTATTACACCTCTTGTCACATATTCTTCTTTTCACTCCCGCTCCCGCTAAACATGTAAGCTTGGGTCAGCATTCACCTCAAAGCCCAATTACCCCCTTCACTTTTCTAGGCCAGAATAGCCAAAACCCCCTTCACCTGGAGGGAACCCTGCTCCCCCTTTCGCACCTATGTTCTCAAGCATCGTAGGGCAGCGAAGAGACTGAAGCCAGATCAACATGCCATATATGCAATAAACATTTGCTACAACATAGAAGAGAACTTCCGTAATGAAAGAATGGCGCAAAACAATCAACAAACCCGCAAGTATCCTGTTAATGCGAATAAGTCCTCCCGACCCGCTCCTCAAACAAAATCTGACCCCGTGCCTTTCAGCTGCAGTAGCGGAAACCGTCGCGAAAGCAGCTACAGGCTGCAAGTGCGACAACCGGCGTGAACTGGAATCCCTCATGGAGATCATGACTTGAGATCATCAACCCTTGCCAGTAAACTGACAATTGTTCCGCAGGTTAATACACCAAAGGCACCTCCCGAAACTCCAGTGTTCGATTACAGAAGCTGACAAAAAGAACCCACAGAAAATACACATCTACAAGACATCTTTTTCATCCAGCACTGCGACTAAGGGGCAAAATTCTATGCATCCTTACGACACGGACAAAACCGAACGAAGTTGCTCACTAGCACTTACGTCTTCCAGGTATAAAAGGAAACCTCAGGAACTGCTAGCTCGAATACTGTTAAGGAAGAACCTGATTAACACATTCACGGCAAGGCCTTTTGATTACCGCTGTTTCGGATCAGAGCCTTTTTCGCTTTGTCAAACTTACGAACTACCGGTGGATCGTATTGTCGTGAATGTTCTAAAACGACTGCACTTCAACTCTGCTGAATAGCTCCACGGACATAACTATCGCACTGTCTTGAACGCGTACACCTGCAAATTTGAAATTGTTGAGATAAAAGCCTTTTTACTCAAGTCTGATTTCTTATAATTAGTTATGAACGTTCTTAACGCGGGCGATTTGGACCGCGGCTGACAAAATCCGCCCGGGGCGATCTTGCTTACGAATGAGTAATGATGTATGTGACTGATAAGGACGATATGCAAGAGTGTTTTGTCGCATTATTTTCGAACTCGCCACTCCATTTGAGCTCATAAAATCTTTTAAGAGGTTTTGTTTAACCGAGTGCTCAAATTTTTGTCCCAAGAAACGCTCGTGAATCCTCGTGGGAGGTGTTCCGCAGATAATGAAAAGAAATTTTTAATCAGCACATTATTCCCATCTGCTCATTATCTATATCGAACACCACCCCCAGTAAAAGGACTTTCCTGATCAGTTCACTTACTCGTTGTCAACTGAGGTCGCAAAAAGCTTCTTCGGAACCTTCAAAAGGAGACTTCCACAGCTCCAAAAAGGTGGGAAACTTCCGAACACGCCGACAGCAGCTGCTGGGCTCAGGGCATGGCACAGATTGTCTGGAAGCAGTCTGGACTTTGTTTTTGGAGCGAAAAGCAAAGCAGATATCGTTTTTGACGAGGCGAGGCCGAGCACCAAAAATAAGCGCCATTTAGTTGAACACAAGCTTCTCGAACAGGTTGTTACGCGATTGACGTGCTCTATCGTGTAGAAAAATGCGCGCGATTTGAAAGCAAGGCTAAAATAAACAAATTGCTTGTTTACAACGCACACAGAAGCGTATGACACTAAAATTGAACTGTAAACATAGAAAGTTATTTTAAAAGAACTATGCAAAAAGATTTGAGAACTTACGTGAAGTACTACCTTTTCTAAAGTTAGTCCGTCTCCAGACGGTCACAAGACGATCTGAGATCGTCTGGAGCATATACTTCTGTCATTTCACATAAGTTTTAAATTTTCCCACCATGGACGGTTTCCCCGGTCAAAATTCTATTCCTGAGATTAAAGACATTTTCATATCATTGCCTTTCCTTTGTTTTATGCCTTAATTTCTTCATAAATCGTTTTCTCAAATATCGCGCTCCAATGCCAAACTGCGTGGTATTCAGCTTCAAATTGGATTTGCACTCTTATCTCATGTTTTTTTCTCAGACTAGTAAATCTTTCTTGTTTCCATCTTCTCCTAAGTAGGTAGGTCAAAGAAGACTTCGTAAAGCTTCCGAAAATCAGGGAGGACTTCGTTTTCAAAATCCCGAGAAACCGAATCGTGCCGGACCCTGGCTGGGCTACTGTATATCGTTACGAACGCCAGCCGAAACGTTTCGTAAACGAGCGGTCAGCACAAATATCACTTCTTTTCTGTGACATAGGGATTGTCACAACAATCACTTCGACTTCTTACCATTCCCTCGTCACCACATTACAGCTTGTACCAGCAACCCTGAGAAGTCAGCCAAGCTCATCGGCAACGGAACGTCCACTATTCTTTTCGTTCTTTAACTGTTCAAACTGATCCTGAAGTTCGGAATCGAGCACAGCACAACAGCTCGAAGTGTGCTGGAACTGTTCCCTAGACTTCGGTATCAGTATGAACGCAGTTTTAGTGAGTGACAGTCCGTAATGGTCCTGAGGTGATTGTTATCAACGAAGGACTCCGAACATTGATAAACGTTCTTGCATGGTAAAACAGTGTTCGAACAATCGACGATACGTGCAAAAAGTGAATGACCTTCTCGAAACCTCAATACTGGTTCAGATGAACGACTTAATCGAAATGAAGCTGTACATACACCTGAACTTGACTACTTTCCTTGTAATCAAACCAACCCTATTGTCATTTTTCCACATACTAGCAACAGATACAGAATTCTTTTATTTTCAAACTGCTGTGATAACAACAGATCGGTGGGTGTAACAACAAGAAAGGAAAGAGAAAGTACTTTGATGTTTTTGAGGTCTTACACATGAAATAAAATGACTCCGTTTCGAACGGAGCTCAGTTATACCCTTTAGGGGACGTAAGTACTCACAAATCTCTGATACTGTACAACAGATTCTTGACGCACTACTCACATCTAAACATTACCCTCATAAGATGCCTGAAGTATGCTAAGATTGAGGTTATCCGACAAGATGAGGTAAACATAACACTCTAAGCGAACTAGGCACATCTTGATCAAACTTCCCCTAAGCGGGTCATTTTCTCTCTATAATGTGGTAAGATTTATGTTCACATCAGAAGTGCCGCACTGAGAAAGAAACACTATCAAAAAATCTGGAGATCAACGTTACTTCGCATGACTATGCCAGGAAACGCATTCACCACACCACCGTTTTCAAAACGCTTATAACCGTCGAGCTCAGCAGTGAGTGTTGAGGAAAATAAACAAACAAAAATGTAAACGATAATGAAACACCCGAGCGGACCCCTAGAAGCTCGATCTATCCATCGAAAGCAAAGCATATCGCAATCGGGCATAGATACAGCCTGCACAATGTCTCCTCCCCATTCTAGAGAATTGTTCAAGAATAATGCTACTAACGTTCAGAGGAGAGGAGCCACGCCGCAGAGTTGATCCTGCAGGACGTGAAAAAGAATCTCTTGAAGAGCATAATCACATATTAATGAAAGAGGCAATATACATCTAGATAACTAGCCACTAACACATAAACAATTCTTGCGGAGTAGCCAGCAGCAGTCTAAAAAATGACACATTTCGAATCAATCTAATTTACAGTATCGACGTTTGACGCCGAGGCAAGAATTCCGAGGGGGTATCGTATCTGTCCACGGACATGGTTTTTGGATCATAATCCGACAATAATCAGTTGATCTATGAGGTCGTTGGTACGGTTAAAGATGTGGTTAATGTCGAATACACGGCGCACGAATGATGCCACTTTCTGAAATAAGCATCAACATTTAAGGTTGTAAAGGGCGACTAAAATATTAGGTTGCTGGAAGAATGATGGTTTTTCTAGTCCTTATAACAGAACAACTTCTTTCCATTGACCTTTCTTCTTTGAAACGAATTTAGCATAGTAATGAGAGCTCTCTTCATTCTATCTAATGATGGTGGTTAACAGGCTCCTAGCCTCCTTTGGTGAAACTTTACAGAGCTTCACATAAAGCAATCAGAATCAGAATTTCATTGCATTTACTATTCTGGTCAGAAGCTATGCGCGAATGATGTCATTCATCCAAAAATTCAATTCTTACTGCTGCATGCGGTAAGAATTGCCCAAGTACGCACACTTAACTATATTTTTTGACATCGTTGCAGTCACTCTGTGGCCCACGAATTTTTATTAGAAAAAGCGATCGCCAACCGCCTATTTCTATAAGCGTAAGAGTAGGGGTTTTTCCCAAAAACAATTCCAACAAATTCAAAAACTCTGCAATTGGGGACTTTGAGGGTCATGAAAAAATGTTGGAAGGTGACAATTTGAGCTTGATTTTTTTCCTTTCGCAAATCGTCTTTGTCCAAACCCTCTACATCTTTGCTCGTCCTAATGGCCTGCGGCCTAAGATAGGCCACACTTATCATTTACAACAAACTTTGAAAGGATATGATTTGTCAAAAACAATGTTCCAGAGAAAAAACTTTTTTTTATTTCTCCCGTATTTTTCTGACTGTATGTGATATGAGTATAGTTTGGATATGCGCTGTATTGCAGAAGAATTGTATTTTCTGATAATTTTTATCGCATTGAAAAATGCATTTTTTAGAAAGTTATAGAAATGGCTAAGTGAAAACTCGCAAGACCCTCATTATTATTGCATCAGCCTGATGGAGCACGAAGTTACACAGTGATTACTGGTTATATGTACTTGAAAGGCCCAACATGAGATATTGCGCACACTGACAGAATGTGTAGAAATAATAGTAATGTTCATTAATCATATTTCAATGCCTGGTATGTGCATGGGAAAGAAGCAAAGAATTTAGCAGATGCAAAAGCAGCAGAATTTTTCCCCTATGTGGATGCACACAAACGGATGAAACAATGGAGTGTCTTCTGGAAGTGCTAGAAGACCCCGTTTGAATTTTTGGACCTGGAATCCAGGAGCACTCACGTTCAATGTTGCAGTCATCATAAGCAGGTTCGAAAACAATGTTTGCGAAGCCTTCCCACGTTCGTTGCTGATCCATAGAAACAACTGGCTAAGCAGCCGAAGACGCTCTCCTTCTATCGTCTTCTTGCCCGTCGATGATAAACCTTCAGCATCTGAAAAAAAAAAAGCATATTTATAGTGCGTTAATATTCATAGCGTATATACAGGGTGTTCCAAAAGTATGTACACATTTTTTGATCGTTATTAACTCTCTTATTATGCTTAACTTCAAGTACTATTGTGTGAAGCTGCTTCAACTCAAGTTAACAGTATGATGCAAATGATCTTGACTGCTGTGAAATTATGGTAGGAACTTTCAGCATGCAGCGCCGCTGTGGAATAGACCTTGTAGAAAAAAAGGGTGAAGAAATCTGAAAATCATTAGCAGTGCTTTCAGACTTGCTGTTTTCGCAAATTTTACGAATTCAAGCGATGTAAATAGTTTGATTGGCAGAAAGTACGAGTGCTTTGGCACCAGTGACGTCGTATGCAACAGGAAACCTCGCTGTTTGCAAGTGCCATATCACACAGTATACGTCTCGACTTTGCTTGTCATGTCAGAACGCATCACAGTGCAATATGTGAATGGGCGGAGCGCAAAAAAGGGGGCGGAGCGCAAAAATGTCTCTCCAATTTGCAGGTCCACCTTCTCCTTCTAGTGGCAAAATTCAGTGGACCGGACCAACGTTGATCTACTTCTAGGACTTGCTGATCTTGCTCGTAGTATAAGCAATAATCTGGGGTGCATGTAATTTGGATGGACACTGCCTTTATCTCCTCCCAATGCTGTACTCTTTCGGAGCCGACCAATCCATTGAGTACAGTAATAGGCGAGAAAAATTGAATTTCTAATTATAACTGAATCATATGACCTCCTGCATGAAGTTACTTCAAACTTACTTGGCTACAAATTCGCATCTGCGTTGAGTAGACGGATATGAAAGGAATGTTTTTAGCCAAAACTGCGCAAGAAAAATATGAGTGCATGGATAAGAAAGAAACGCAATTTCTTCCCGTTAGTTCTAAGGGACTTTACAGAGTATGAGCTATTATCTTACCCGGATTATGTAGAAGGAGCATTTTATACAAGACGATATGATGTTGTTTGATTTGCAGCCGCCGCATCAGCTTGAAGCACCCTTCGATCAGAATTGTGTACATTTCTTCTCTAAAGGACGAGCTGGATAAAGAAAAGAAGGTTCAAAACAGAGTTGGACGTCTTGTTATGAAGCGAAAAATCTATGTACACATACGTGTTAGTGATGTCGTTGACCTTTTCTATATAAGTTCCATCCGGATAGTTCAAGCGGTCTACAATCACCGGCTCACAGTCAGGTTCTTGCTCTGAATGGAGCAAGATATATTCAAGCCATGTCTTTTCATAAAAATAAGCAGATGAGACCCACTAATGACAAGGTTGGTGCCATTCTCCTCCGGAGATGTAGTGTAGTAGGCCAATTGCAAAAGCGGAAATATCGGTGCAAAAGCTTTCATCAATGCTAACTGTAAAGCAGCACTTGACGGCAATTTGAAAAAATGTATATAAAAACTCACTTTGTCATTGAGAAGCAACCGATCCATTATTGGTAAACATTTACCCCATTCCATCATTAGCGATAAATCCCGTACGAACCATGAACGCAACGACTCAAGGGTACATTGCGATGAAAGCGTTGTGTTTTCCTGAAATGAATGGGCATCATTCCTCTTCCAAAAGAGTCTTTCTATTGTTATTTTTCTAGTTTCTAGTAAATTTCAGTATGTCTAAAGATTGCTGAGTGTGGTATATTGGAATTTCTTGGGGCTCAGATATGGTAGACTTTAGCATAACGAATAAGATTATCTATTCAAAACAGGCTAGCCACTCGTAATCAAAAAGTCCACCTACTAAACTGCAATAAAAACGAAACAATCTCCAAGATTCTCCACTGCTGATTCTTATTTATCTACTTATTCCCAATTCCACAACATTAACTTGGGGATCTACAAATTTCTACAAATGTAAAGATGCTCATGCTTCTCTCAATTATCTTTTCGAGCTTTGAAAATAATGGAGTAATTTAAAGAAAGCACAAATATGGCGAAGACGACACCACAGTCAGCCAAAATTTCGCAGTTCAAAAATGGTATGCAGGACTGTTATCTGAGACACTCAAGAAAGACCTTAGTTATGTCACTGACCATTCAAGAGATTTGCACCATCTAGTTTCTGGGACATTAATGAGCTGACGAAAACAGACTTTTACTATTAGGTTGGCTAATAAATAATTTCGGTCGGTTTTGCGGCTCCCACAAATGCTGCAGACAATTTTTTGTCCACTATTCCGTACCACTGGAAAGGAACTTCAGTGAGGATTGAACATATAATCTGTATGAGTGCATTTTAATTTGTAATGAAAGAAATCTGCAAAAAAAAGTGAGAAACCCCAACTTTCTACTGTGGAAAATATGAGAAAATTTCGGCCAAAAAACCTTGAAATAGCAGATCGCAATTTCATTGATGGTCGCTAAGTAGCGAAAGCCTATTTGTATCCAAATACCAAATTTCTGTTCTCTACAGAAGCTTAGAAAGTCGCAAAATTGAGCTTCTGGAATTTCAATCATGTTGGGGCACAAATGTCCCTTACTGATATTTCAAAATTTTGAATAGTTGATATGTGATAGAAAAAGCTTTGAGCTACTCACCCACAAAAAATCATGGACATAGAACTACCGGGAAAGTTTTCAAAAGGTTTTCATGCTAAACGAAATTACTTTTTAGCCAACCTAATAGTACTGAAAACATTTCACTATCCTTTACTTGAATACCACTCAAGCTTTTTGATTCCTGCTCTGCCAGTCAAGCTGTTAGATTCTTATAAGCAGTGACTCACAGCTGCCGGAAGCGTAAGTGCCTTATACTAAGAGACATGAGATTAATTTTAGGTGCCGTTGGGAGTGCTATTTCTTACACTGGCTTTTCTTTGTATTATTAGTACACTTTACCATTACAGTCAAGAAAGCGTGTTCTTACCAATGGCCGTGAATTCTCCCTCATCCATTCGTGGTCATCGAATAGGCACCTGAAAAGTTTTGCCATGAAAGCCATGAAAAAACTCGTGATTGAACAAGGAAGTTTCCAACCACTCCTCTACTTATTACTTTACTATTTCCGATTAAAACACGCTGTGCTATCGGGGGCCACAGCTGCGACTCTTTTCACACAAAGGGGCCAGTTTACGAGCAACAAAATGCGACATACGAAAATCACTCTGTTTATTATGATCGCTGGTGGTCGGCCGTGGTGGACGGCTGGCGATCTGTCAGCGCAGCAAGTCAACAAATACTTTGTGCCAGGAAAGTGATGTAATGCCAAAAAAAACCAATGAAACACTAAGAGTGGCAGTAATTTGGTCGATACCATCTTCCTAACTAACAAGGGAAGTCGGGTAACTTGGATCCGCGTTTTGAGATGAGACACATATATTTGGGATAAGCTCTGAACGCTGATTCCAAATACGCTGTTTAGCTGCGGAGCATCATTCTGAAGCGAGTTGAGCTTTTACTGCACGATGGCATACTATTTAACATGGAAAACTGCCTGTAGATGGAAATCTGCAATAAACCAGTGCTGGGATGTTGAAATAATATCAGATTGAGTCTTTTGTCATTGACAAGAAACTTAGCATAGTAATCAACATTCAGTAATGCCAGTAGGTCAAAGACTATGCATATTTTGCACAGAAAAAAAATCGATAACTCGCTTCTGAATGATGCGCCGCAGCTAGAAACAGTATATTTGGAGCTTTCGGTACTGATCCCAAATAAGTGTGTCTCATCTTAAAACGCGAATTTAAGTTACCTGACTTAATGACTCTAAATAACAAGTAGCTTCACATCACCTTTAAAATGAAACCACGAGGATTCAGAAACCAAGCGGAAAATCCTTCACTTGATTATTAAACAAACCGATGTATTCATTTTCGTGTTGACCGCCATCACAGCACTTTACTATTTTTACTAATTTTTTCGGTCTCATCTCAACTTAGTTTTCATAAACGAGGTGTATGAGGAAAATCATTTTCGTGCTTTTTTCCATATGCTTTTCTAAACAATAATCAAGTCAGCTCATAAAAACTTGCAAAATGATCTTCCTGCGGAGCATCATTGGACGAGGAGATTTGCGCGTTTATTGGAGCAAGAAATCAAAAGTTGGAAATAAGGTAAAAATAGTCGTAGGCTTTTTCCCAGCGTTTGAATGAAGCATTGGGAGTTATCACAGTACCTTATGCAGTAAGTACTTTTAGAAGTACAGTTCCGCTGCCTCATTTGAGCGGTAGGAAAATTCTAGCAACTGATTTTTTCCTAAAAAATCACCAATTGTTTTGCTACAATAAATACCCATAATTCCTCGCCCGTGAACGCTCCACAGGTACGGAAAACAGAGTTGGAGTCAGCGTTTTGAGCCCTCCAAGAGGGTATACATCCCATCTTAGAAGGCCGCTTCGACCACCATCCTTCCCTTGTGAGAGGCCCTCAGAAGATGACCTAACCCCTGATGACTTTCTAACATTACTACCACCCCAAATGTCCGCTTAGACCATGACAGTTGCATAATGCTCAATTCAAAGCTAATTATGGGCTTCTAACTCGCATTTTAGCTGCCAAGGGTACATTTGAATTTGAAAGTTGCACATCGCAGATTCCCTCACTACGCTTCATCACATGTGTTGTGATAGACGTGTGCCTGCGTCGACGCTTGGGCAAAACAAGAAAATTCAAAATAGCCGTTATCGAGTGGTTAATGTCATCGTACACGTCACCGACAAGTTATGGCTACCAAAAAAGGATAAAGTTACGATCGATATCGACAACCAACACCGAAACCTGTTCCAGAGATAGTTCAAATGATACAGTGCTTGTCATGACTGCTACTACACCCATAAGTGCTATCGCCACATATAACAAAGGAATTAAAAAAATGCCAAAAGCGATTGATTTGTGCACAAAAACCCCCAGCTGGTCAGAAAGTAAATGCCGTTTGAGTATTCCAATAATCGATTGAAGAGTATGTGGACGAGATCGCACACATGTTTTATACAAAGTCAACATCTTTTAGTCGTGAAAAGTAAAAGCCGCAAGCTTCCTCCATTTCCTACATTAGCTCCCGCTTCCCCCCCCCCCCTCTCCCCACCGAATGACCACCGTACATCCCTGATTATCCCATTATGACAATCCCCGTTCATGAGGTGGAACGAAACGGATAGAAACTTTACCTATAAAATCAATATAGTTTTTATCATACTTCTAACACCTTCGCCTAGATGTGTACTATACGCTATACACTTTGAAAGTTGTAAGTATTGAGTCTGAAAGCTCAGAAATTGAGGAAGGCTGATAAGGCCAGTATTCAGAAAAAAAGTGGAAAATGTTCTTCTTAGCTCTGACTTGGGGATATGGAGAGGAGGGGGAGGGGGGGGGGGGGGGCGTTTTACTACAGAATTCGATTCTTTTCATCGTTATTTGCAGAGATACAGCACAAAAACGTAGGATTCCGTTGTTACAACTTTGAATCCTCGTTATTTGATTCAAAAACTATATTGCCCAAGAAGACTACTGCAAAACAAGAAAGGTAGTTCTCAGAGTTTTTTTGCTTTCCGCCAGTGATTTCTGTCCAAAGAATTTCTAGCAAAAAAGCTACTGAAACCTGAAGGAACGTTCCAGAAAATTTCATGAAAGTAATGGTGTATGTGCTCTCTTCCTTTTCTGGCTTAGCACATTTTTCTCCACAAATTAAGAAACTTCACTCACTTATTATACATGCAACTAGTTGCCGACGTGTGCGGCTCGAACCGGCAAGCTCGCCGTACCAGTAACATTTTGTCTTCTAACCGCATTAGGTCATCCACTAATACCCGAACATCGTTCTGAAATGCACAGCAGATCAGAATATATCACCAATTTTTGCAAACGATACAAAACTAATCAGTACCAAGGATACCTGCGAATCTGGGTCGAATGCCGAACTATCGAGCTCGGGAATCACCATCATCGTACTAGACGATGGTGTTGAGGTATTAACATATTGATCAGATCTAAATGTCGAAGAAGGTCGTGAGCCATATTAAGTATATTAATCAATAAATATGAAGGTTTTGGAAAATCCTTCTGAGCTCGTCATAAATCCTTTTAGCAAATCCTTCATCGTGGATAGCCACATTAGCAGAGATAATTTGAACGGATGTTTACTTATGATATACTCAGTTCTCTATTCCCAGCACCCCCGAAAACTAGGGGGCGTTTTTGAACGAACGAAAACGAATTATAAAAATATCTGAATGAATTATCAAAAATGATAAGCAAAATTTGACCAACAGAACTGAACCTACACCAAAAATACCGGCGAAATTTCTCAAACATGATCGTACCATACAATTTTTTTAGCAGCGTCATAAAATATAATAAAAATGAATAAAAAATGCTGCGGATGAGCTAACACGTTTTTGCCTTCAATATCTTTTTCCAAGCCATTTCTTCAGTACAGATGGCAACACCAACTTACCCAGCGCTATTAGGGCTCCCAACCTCCTCCTTCATAGACAACTCCGCTTGCTCTTTCAAACGTTTTTCCTCTTCCTTTTTCTTCTTCAAAGCCTTCGTATAGCGAATTTTATCGCGGTCGTGTTGGATGGCTGCAAATTGAAGGCTAACGAGGTGATAATCAAGAAACCGATATTATCCACTACTTATAATTGGCAGTAGACCAAAGTTTATCTCCTCACTTATTATAATTAGATTTTGCGTTTCAGTGTGTGCAACATTTTCTCACAAAGTTCATGTTCAGAAAAGTTCTTCGGTCATCATTCGAGCACCTTTGATCTTTTCCTCACACCTACGCAAATTTCGTTGGGGCCAATCACTACTCGCGCAATTCTTTGTTAAGGGACGCATGTGAATTGAGTTGGGTAATTGGCAAGCATTGGCGAATCGCCAGCGCAGTCTCAAAAACCTCTCGAAATCTGTTGAAGTGCCCATTGGAAACGAAAGTTGATGATGTATTTAAAAAGGTGTGCAAAAACTCACATCAGGGCTCGGCATGATTGAGAAATGCAAAAGCAAATTTCGAGGAAAAAGGCGAAATAGATATCGATATTGAGACGAATAAGGAGACCCCCACCCTTCAAAAAAAAGATAAAAGAGCAAACATATAACAGAGTCAAAACTCGTATCTGCAGAGCACTGTGATGAGTCGAGACAACTCCATAGAACCAGTTCATTTCATAAAATATTCTGTACATTTCACATGAAGTAACTTTTGAGCACCACCTATGACTTTTATGCTTTAGCCCACATATTTTTTGAATCAATAGAAAAGATTTTGATCTCAAAAATATAGTAATTGAACGGGAAATTGCTTTTAAAATGCCATAGCCGTCCGAAGAGGACATTCCCGCTTGTTATCTAAATGAGTCCGTGAATATTTTTAGCGGTATCTCCCTCAACTGTGCACTCTTCCAAGAATGCCCATCTTTCACCTAAAGGCTAATTTTGGTATTACCATAAAAAATATTTTAGGCTACTCAGAGGCAGTGAGTGTCAAGGCAATTTCAAAGAACCTAGATTTTCATGCAGAAAGCGATTGTAGATTCCCGATGAGGCAGTGCTCAAGCGGTAGCTGTTATAGCTTGTGGACAAATTTGAATCTAAGCTAGCGCACAGACCGAACTCCCTAGCGGCAACAAGCTAGAGTACCGTACTTTATTGATCGCTCGGAAAGTGTACGGTCTGGGCGGGAGTTTAGAGTTGAATATCTCGGCCACGAGTGAACCAAACGAGCTGCGGCTTGTCTCAACTAGTTTAAATAGACACTGCTATTGAGCTCCTTTGCTGCGCATGGTTTTGAATTTTATGAGCAGTTCTACCACACCGTAAGTGTTCAGTATTCGCTAACTGCATTCTTTGGACTTTTTTTCAATATTCTGCATTTTCTTGTTCTTCCCTCTCAACACAACCCATTCTCCAGCAATACCGTGAAGGAAGCGATGACTATGCCAACGATAGTCGCAAAACATGCGAATCGAAGCGACGCATAGCGAGAGCTGCCGTGGTAAACACCCCACCATCCCAGAACCTCTCCTCCACTCGCTCTCACACATACAACACACATACACGCTGCACACTTTCCCGGCATACAAACAACATCGAGAGAACGAGGGGCCCGAATAATAACAAGCAATAGATAAAACTCAATGCAGATACAAACGTATGCGGAGCAAGCTTGCCGAGCGGGAAAAAATTTTCAATAGAAACCCAACGACGGAAGGAAATCGCAGCTAAGGCGAATCGCCGTTTTGGAGCCAAAGATAAATAACAGGATACAATATCTCCAAGAATGACATTACTTACTTTAGGACGAAAATGCTAGATTTGACAAACCAGAAATATTGTAACATGCGGAATGCACAAAAAAAAAAACGTTTTTTTTATAATTAGCTTTCAAGAAAAGCAGTATGAATGATTCGAGGGGGCTCTGGAAAAATTTGGGACACAAAAAAATCTACGACAGTTTGCGAAAAAAAATGTGAGTAACGTCCTCCAGGACGAACATACAGAATATGTCATCTTGGAAGATGAAGTTTACAATATATTATCAATGAACTTATGATTGTTAAACCAACCGCTTCTTTATTATTGCGTAATAGTTTTAACAAATTGCCAAAAACAGAAATTAAAAAAAAATAAGATAACACTAATTTCACATTCACATGTACTATCGGAAGATTTGTAAAGGGCTGGGCTCTTAAGGAGCAACGAAAGACAAAGTGAAATTCTACTATCTCAGCGCCGAAAACGTCTAGGAATAAAGATAACAAATAAACTTGCAATTCAGAGAGAGAAGCGAAATTTCCTTTAGTCCACCAGTGGATATGATATGAGGATAAGGATTGAAAGTCTATACGGATATCAACATACCTTTTGGATCCATACCCATATCGAAGCATTTTTTGAGGCGACAACTGCGGCAGACGCATCGAACAGCTGTAAAAAGATGTTCTTTGCAGGGAATAAATCTTTAAAACGATGAATACTTAATGCGCACAGATCTGCAGTAATAAAAGCATTCATGTTAAATTAGGTAACATCGATTACTTGTCTATAGATATCGCAGCCATTCTTTGCAAAAAACTTGAGGAGAGCAGATTCGCAACTCTATAAGTGTGGAAAACAAAACTCACATTTTCCTACAACGCAATCTCCGGAAAACTGACATGTGAAGGTCTGCTTGTTCTGCAAGAACCTGATTATGATACCTCACTGACACGTCCAAGTCATGCTCTCTTCTCACAAGTTTCAAGAATCGAAAAGACTAATAAGAAAGAATAATCGAGTAAACAACTTGCCACAAGAGCTCGTCGAAAAAACGTTTTGCACCCGTTGCAACTTGGAACCGAATAGTGTATGCCGCTTGCGAGATCCGCGCAGACCACACATAACGTGCCTTCCGGGATCTTCTCGCGCTCTGAAGTATAAACACATTATAAAAATTGGACAATCGCGGAAATATATCTTTAAACCATGGTTTTGGATATGCTGAAGAATTTTCTCTTTTTGGACGTACTCAGCATTAAAGATACCTTAGTATCATCTAATTTGACAATTTAACTGAGTTTTATCCAATTTTCTATAGAATTGTTATTTGATATGTGCATTGCACACTACTTGCGGCTTACGACTTCGACACTTGGAAGCTGCCATTTTACATGAAAAACTTCGTTTTCGTCTCCTTTTTAGCATGATTACACAAACTGCAGTTAGAGCACACATTTCGTCAGTTTGTTATGCTAAAACAGGTTTTACCAACAAATTAGTAGGTTGCCTTGCATTGTGAAGTACCATAAATCAAGAATAAATGATTCGTTTATGCATCTTCACTCGAAATTTTACTTTCATCAAATTTTATCTCTAAAACAATTCTCCAAAAAAATTAGAATGACTTCCAGAACATACTTTTGTTGTTAAGTGCAAATTCGTGGTATAAAACCATAGAAATAGGCGTGGCTAACATCGCTTAGGCCACGGCAGCAGCAATACGACAACGTTGTTGGTGAACTTCAGCAATGCTGGCAGTAGGCGTGGCGACAACATCGACGCAAAACCTCACTCAAGTGGGCGGAGTCATCGCCTTCAAAAACACAACTGCAAGCGCCTTGCTCGAGAAGATGACAGCGGTGAATTAAGCGATAGTTTTGCTGTGCCAAAGAGGGAGGGGGGTGGACAAGGAGCCAGTTGCAAGTGCAGCTTTCTGCAAGTGCAATCAACTATAAAGCAACTCGGCCGAAGTAGCAAGTTCAATCGAATGTGTAATTTCGCGTGCGGTGTTGACACGCTTCGCTGCCTATGACGTCACGAAAACTCAACGAGATCAATTTTGCGCGTTTGGGCCCCCGCGGGAGGTGAAGTAGGGAGAGCGAAGAAGTGCTCATTCACATTCCATAGCCAAACCGGACTGAGCCAACTTACAAGAGTTTGCAACATAGAACTAGTGTATTAGAAGCTCCTTCAGGATTAAGCTTGCTTTTCCAACCAGAAAGGTAGATCTCATCTCATCAAATCCTATAAAAAAAGCCACTGACCAGCAGCAATAGACGCAGCTTTTTCTGTTCTCTCTCGCAACATTTGTGAATAGTTCGATTGTAATTATCGGCGTTCCTGAGGATAGAAGTGTCAATAGTAGTTCTCGTGTTTCTCATGATTATTCTTGTGTAGGGCAGATATTTGACTATCTAGGTATCGGTGTTGGCCGGTTTCCGTTTATCGGTTGGGTAAACCCCACCGCACTTATAATAGATTATTGAAAGTCGTCCTTCCAAATTCGTATTTTACTGGCACTGTGTTACGACGAGCTAAACAAATGAAATCATTTCCCTTCCAACATGGGATATTTATACGTCCTTCACTTCCTAAGGAAGAGAGGGACAAGCTTCGAAGGGATAGAAAAGCTCGTCGTAACACCCGTGTTAAGTGTACCGTTAACTCGGTTCGCTCAAGCACGGATGCCACCGAAGCTATGAATATGTCGGATGTTGTATTGATGCAAACCCAACCAAATTCTTCCTCCAATGCTTTAAATGTATGAACCTTCCGCGGACTGCCGAATCTTCTTTGAAATGTATCTTAGTTAATATACGATCTCTTAGCAGGAATATTGAGAGCTTTACATATCATATGATGAACAATGACCTTGCCATTGGGGGAATAACTGAAACTTGGTTGCATGAAAAAATTAGTGACAGTTCAATGTTCGGTGGCTTTGATAATTACATAGTGCACCGATGCGACCGTGTGGGTAAGCGAGGCGGTGGTGTGCTTCTAGTTATTAGGAAGAATCTTAACTCTTATCTGGTATTTAATGAATCTGTGCCTGATGGTTACGAAATTATATGTTGTGATATGGTGGGCTACAGAGTGATTCGTGTTATCTTGGTCTACAGGTCTCCCTCCTGTGCAATAAATAAGACTAGGCAAATGATCAAGGCACTTACGGACCTTCTTAGTTGCGGCAGTTCTTTGCTCTTAATGGGTGATTTCAACTTCCCTGGTATTGACTGGTCATACCACGCTGCTACGATGCCCGCCCGACTTGAAAGTGCTGCCAGACAGTTCGTCCATATGTGCCATCAATTTAGGCTTTCTCAAAAGGTATGTTCTAATACGCTGGGCCAACATAAGCTAGATTTAGTATTCACCAATGATTCTTGTCTTGTCAAAGGGGTGAGAGTTGATGCTCCACTGGGCACAAGTGATCACGCTACGGTTAAATTCATTGTTCAAAGCTTTGCTGAGCATACGAACTATGTCATGCGCAGGGATTTCAAACACGCTGATAATGAGGGACTTATTGCCTACCTTAGCGGTATTGATTGGTACGGCCCTCTCAACTCGGCCGCTACAGTCAATGCCATGTATGAGCTGTTTATAAATATACTCCACCAGGCTATAGATCTCTTTGTCCCATGGGTCTCACTTCCACTGCATGCTACGGTGCTACCAACGCACCTGAGGAGGCTTCACTATAAGAGGGATGAAGCATGGAAAAAAGCTAACAGCACCGGAAATGATCTTTACTGGGAACAATTTAGACGATTTGATGCCATCTTCACCAAACGTTTGAAAAAGTACAATTCAGTCACTGAAAAGAAGGTTATTTCTTCCGGAAATAAACTTCTTTTTTACAGGTTTGTCAGCTCTAGGCTTAAGGAAAAGAGTAGAATTGGTGCGATCTTATCTGATGATGGATCTGTATTGATCAATGACTACGAAAAAGCTGAATGTTTTGCTAGTGTTTTTGAAAAAGCCTTCTCAGATGAGGCTTCAGATGACGTGGCTGTTAGTCCAGTGTGTGCAGTGATGGAAGAGGGGCCGTGGTTTTATAGTGAAGAAATTTATAAATTGTTGATTACTTGGCCCAGGTCTTCATCTCTCACTCCCGACATGTTACCTCTCCAATTCATTAAGTCCATTGCGCATATAATTGCTGGTCCATTACAGTTTTTGTTCAATATGAGTCTAACTAGGGCTGAAGTCCCCAAGAGATGGCGCACCTCGTATGTAACGCCCATTCCGAAAAAGAAACCTTATACCTGTCCAAAAAATTTTCGTCCCGTTAGTATCACTTCAGTCTTTGCCAGGTTATTTGAAAAAGTTCTGAAGAAACATATTGTTAAACACTTGAATAACCATGGCATTATTTCCTCTTCACAGCACGGGTTTCAGCGTGGTAGGTCCACGTCTACTGCGATGTTGCAATCACTCAATGAATGGACGCTCAACTTTGATAAAGGCCTCAATACGGATGTAATCTACTTGGATTTCACTAAGGCCTTTGATAAGGTACACCACATCAAGCTAGTTCAAAAACTAAGGATTGTGGGATTACATCCTCGTATTGTCGACTGGATCAAAGCTTTTCTTGAAGATAGGACATTTGTTGTCCGTATCAATAACACGTTCTCCGAGCCTAGACTCATGGGTAGCGGGGTGCCCCAGGGAGGAGTCCTGTCTCCTATTCTGTTCAACATCTACACCTATGAACTCCCCGCTATACCTACAAAGCACGGCGTTTCTTGCAGTGCGTTCGCAGACGATTTTAAGCTGTACACCACGGTCATCAACGATGGTGATCGCAGACGCCTGCAAGAAGCGATAGACGACGTTTATAAATGGTCGCAAGAATGGAATTTGCCAATTTCAAGAGAAAAAACCAAATTCATGAGCATTGGTCCGCAAAACCGTACTTCTAATTTTAGTTACTCATTAGGAAATTCAGTTCTCCAGGCAATAGGGTCGGTCAGAGACCTTGGATTCTTGATAAATAGTAGTCTTACTTTTGAGGAGCACTGCAAGGTTATAGCGGATAAAGCAATGAGAGCGGTCTATAACTTATTTAGAGCGTTCTCAACGAAGGACACAGGGGTTCTTTTGAAAGCATACAAGACTTACATCAGACCTATGTTAGAATATGGGACTGTAATATACAACCCACATCTGTGTAAAACTATAAACTACTTGGAAAACGTTCAGAAAAGTTTTACACGAAAGCTATTTATTCGCACTTTGGGTTTTGCGTACGATCTTATTCCTAATAGCAAGATTCGTGACAAGAAATTGGGTTTGACATCCCTTGCGTATAGAAGACGTAAAAATGACCTTATAATGGCCCATAAAATCTTGTTTGGAAATTGTGGATTGGATTTTTCGGAGTTTTTTCCAACTAGACCATCCAATACCAGAGGTGGTCCCAGAAAACTTATCATCTCCAGGGCAAGGCTAATAGTTAGGCGAAATTTTTTTACATGTCGCATTATTCATGATATGGATTCGCTCTTAAGAAAAAGGGCATTTCCTGCTAAGCTTTCTTTATTCAAAAACATTTTGAAGGATTATCTGCAGTCCGATAGTTGAAGTTGTTACTAACACGGTTTGATGTTGTTATTCTAGGTATAACACCTCACTTGATATTGTTTTCTTTGACTGTTATTTGTTTGTTACCTGACATGGGTCCCCCCATGTAATAAATGAATGAAATGAAATGAAGTACCATAAATCAAGAATAAATGATTCGTTTATGCATCTTCACTCGAAATTTTACTTTCATCAAATTTTATCTCTAAAACAATTCTCCAAAAAAATTAGAATGACTTCCAGAACATACTTTTGTTGTTAAGTGCAAATTCGTGGTATAAAACCATAGAAATAGGCGTGGCTAACATCGCTTAGGCCACGGCAGCAGCAATACGACAACGTTGTTGGTGAACTTCAGCAATGCTGGCAGTAGGCGTGGCGACAACATCGACGCAAAACCTCACTCAAGTGGGCGGAGTCATCGCCTTCAAAAACACAACTGCAAGCGCCTTGCTCGAGAAGATGACAGCGGTGAATTAAGCGATAGTTTTGCTGTGCCAAAGAGGGAGGGGGGTGGACAAGGAGCCAGTTGCAAGTGCAGCTTTCTGCAAGTGCAATCAACTATAAAGCAACTCGGCCGAAGTAGCAAGTTCAATCGAATGTGTTATTTCGCGTGCGGTGTTGACACGCTTCGCTGCCTATGACGTCACGAAAACTCAACGAGATCAATTTTGCGCGTTTGGGCCCCCGCGGGAGGTGAAGTAGGGAGAGCGAAGAAGTGCTCATTCACATTCCATAGCCAAACCGGACTGAGCCAACTTACAAGAGTTTGCAACATAGAACTAGTGTATTAGAAGCTCCTTCAGGATTAAGCTTGCTTTTCCAACCAGAAAGGTAGATCTCATCTCATCAAATCCTATAAAAAAAGCCACTGACCAGCAGCAATAGACGCAGCTTTTTCTGTTCTCTCTCGCAACATTTGTGAAAATGGCGAAGTTTTTAAGTTTATTTGATTTCCTCGCGCTAAATCCCTGACTTCTGCGTTAATTTGCAGAAAAAAAAACTGGCTTTGATTCTTCGAGGCAGGGAGGAAAACAGGTAGAGCAAATCTCACACTATACCTAGTTTTACTCGAATCACTCCAATCAGTTCCCAAGCTAATAATCTCATTTTCCAAAGAAAAACCTCGCCGCAGCTACAGAGCGGCAGATCAAGCCCAAGAACACAATCTCCAAAAGCAGATCAAGCACTTTTACAAAGAATGATCATAGAAAGCATATTTTCCTGAAAACTACAGTTCTTCTTGCGACTGGGCACTCTTTTTCCATTGCAAAAGAGGGGTGTATGTCAAGAGGGGCGACTTTTATTGCCAAATGGACACAAATTAGCGCATTTTTTGCATATTATGATGATATAGGAGCAATTCAAATTTCTAACAAGATATATATATATGATTGTTCCATGGGTTGCTCGACCTTATCTCTTGTAACAGAATCACTACATAAGTGGTAAAGCTCAAGAACCAGTGAAAAAGCAACTAATGGCGTTTTCGTGAATATTTCAATCAATTTTTCACCATAAGCCGTCAAACTTAGTAAGTGGTAGCTTCAGATAGTTAGTAAATTAGTGCACTTTGTCTGGTATTGTTAAAAAACTCGCAAAATTGAACCTTTATAGAAATTGCGCCTCTTGCCTGTCTACCGAACTGCAGAAGCTTTATTCAGGGAAAGCTCGCATTGCTTCAAAGGACTAAACAATTATTCTTCAAACTAGCACAGCGATTTTTTTGATTCGACAAAAAATTCAGAGTGGAGTGAGAGTAGCCTTAAGAAAGTAAGCTGAAAGATACTACCTTCGTATATTAACTGATGTTTAGAAGAACTTTTCGAGAGAAGAAAAGAAACACCCCAAACCATATAATACTTCTGTTCTGTTTCCAGTGTAACGGCGAGCATATTCTTCCCTTTTTCTGTGATCGAAGACTTTCACCAAAGAAAGTAGATCTAAAGTCTTTTCTGAAAGAACTTGGTTCCCCGTTTTACACAAAAAGTCATTATATATTTCAAGAATCAATGAAAAATTTAGCCTGTTTCGGAGGGGAGCTGGACCGGTTGGAAGGTCCGACTGCGCTGAAGAAGATCTCCTCCTGCTGAAACAAGACTCAGCATATTGAACGTGCACCCAAGTCACTCACTGAAGCCAAAAAACTTTGGGTCCGATGTTCCAAAATCAATAGCCAAAGCTCTGGCAGTATGATGGCGCATGTTTTTTTTCTACGGCGAAACTGATGTGGATTCGTGAACATTCTCTAACAACCTCAACTGCTATCGCGTCTAGAATGCGATGTCATGATAATTTTTCACCATAGTTAAGCTTTCTAGAATGGCGTTCATTGTATCACCTTAGTCTATGATGCAGCTGTGCATACACAAACATTATCAGCTGAAACAACTATACTTCCGTTCGGCTCGTGAAGAGATGTACAGCGAAGTTTGAAAATCAGCACAATAGGCTAGACTTAAGAATTAGATGTTATCGTCAGAACTAAGAGGTACTGGTGGCTCCCAAATTTACCTCCGAATTCTGTATGCTTGCAAATGATGCCTTTTACCAACATCAAAGAATTATATAGTCTGTTTGAAGGTTTCACCATTCCCTGAATTGCTGAAGATGATCAAAAACAGTAAATGATGTTTGGTGTGATGCGCAAGGTTTCGCAGCAGACTGCAAAAACGTCCAAAGTCGCCGTCAATTCACAAGTTATCTGGTGCAACTCGACAGTTCGTCGAACTCCCTGCAGCTGACTTTAGAACACACCAATAGCACTTAAATTTGCTTTATTTTTTTCTTCTGTCTTTTTATTCAGATATAGCCATTTACTGTATTAAATGATGTCTTTGGAATTGATTTGATCATACGTTTGCGTTTTTTTCAAAAGCGTGCACTGCCGCATAGAGCAAGTTTTCTTGGCCTGTGCAGCTTTTTTGTGAATACTACGTCATCATGTAAGCGCATAAGAATTCATGCGAAAATTCTCTTTTTTCATAAGTTCCAGCAAAGATTTGGATAAAAGGCAATAAATGGAATTCCATAAAAAACACATTTTCGTCCCAAAAGAAAAGTTACCTAACGACGATTACTAGAGAACAGGCATCCATAGCTCAGAAATTCGCAAAGCAGTCAGAATAACCCTGAGTAGCAACAGTGGCAACTATTCGGAGAAGGAATCTAACTTCCTTAAGAAATATTGACGTTTGGGACCAAAAACGGCCATTGCAAGTAACAAAGACTTATAAGACACATTCATTCCGTTTTTTTACCGCAAAAGACGGGATTATCACAACTCATGTAACTCAGCAAGGTCTGTGTAGCTTAACAGACATGATAGTAACAGCCAAACATTGTGAGATTGCCGAGTTTGGAATGTTGATTACACTTGCTTGCGCTCCAGAAAAGACCACAGCGCAAGAATTTTTAGGCGTCGATCCGATGGCTTTAACGCACATTTGCTGTCGGCAACATTAGAACACTAAATTCCTCGTTATAATAGACTATAATATCTGCGCCAGGCAATGTATTGTGTACGGAACTTAGATGGCATGGTAAATGAGCGCGATCTATCTGCCGTCAACGCCCATACAAAAAAACGTATTCTGTGGGATAAGAATGGATGTAAAGTTCAAACAATCTGTTTCGTAAAAATAGAGCGAGGAAAAAAACTCAAAAGATGATATTATTGTTCGGTTAATCCTATGCTGCGCACGGTACATATCGCTATCAAAATCACTTCGGTCTTCTCAAAAATAAGAGAGCTGAATACGTTGGGCGCGTTGCCGCTGCTTAACGAGTACGGTACAGTCGGCAGTTTTGAGGGGTTATATAAAAAATCCAGGCACAAGCGCCATATTAACGTTCTAGGATTGTGGAAAGACGATAAGTATATCAAAACTTTCCCTTGTGAGCAAGGTTCACATTTTCTTGCAAGGGAAGGATACCAAAATAAGAGATCGGAGGCGAGTTATATCAGTTACCAAGAGACGCTTTATAAGCTGATTCTTTATTAGCTTTCCGTTTTTACGGAGTAATTTTTCCAAAAACTTATAAGCGTGTGTTCAAATTTGTCAAGCATTGAGTGGCATAAAATTAGGAAAAACTCAACAAAAACACCTATGCGGATTTCCACTGGCTGTATTCCTTCCACGTAGTAAGTATGCTTGATACAAAATTGATTACCCACCCTCAGGAGTTTTTGTACAGCTTTTCGCTAATTTTATGCCATTAGAATCTTGACAAATTTGGACATGCAAACGGTGGTAACTTCTTTCGGGCAGGAATGGAAAGCAGATTTTGAATCAGCGTTTGAAGACGCGTCAACTGATGTACAGCTTGTCTTCAATCTCCAATTGTTGGTATCCTTCCCGATCTAGTAATTCGAAATGCTTAAAGTGCCAGCTCACCGATACCAACCACACTGACACGAAAAAACTACTCAGTAATACGCGTGCGATGTAAATAAAAGGATAAACTCTTTGTGGAAAACGACAGATAAATAAATGAATTTACAGATGAACAACAGCCATAGGTGCAAGATCAAACTACTAAACTTACATATGCGATAGTGAGAAGAAAAGAAACGGGTGCATGTTGCTATTATGTAAAAAAAATTTCAAAACTGTTATAAGGCAATCTTAGCAGCGAACGGCTACGAAAGCAAAAACATAACCATTTCTCCTTCAGGTTCAAACAATAATGAAGAGAAAAACTCACTGCAGTTTGGCATTGGACGACCTTCGACAGGACATATACGCTTAGAGTAACATTTCCCTGAAACCGAAAAATTCGGAATTCAATGCGGATTTGCGAAAATACGGCAACGCATAGAGTTCATGAACAAATTAAACAGGGTGGAAAATGTAAAAGCATAGAATTTTTGCAACTATGCAAGAGAACTGAGCCAGTAGAATTTTATTACGTGCGCCATTGTATGGTAATGATGTCCACTACCAGAACCGGAAAGTGACACAACAAAAACAAGAGATAAACGATTTTGTTGTTTGTGATTGAAGTAAGAAAAAGATGTGTTCAATAGTTGAACTAGACTGACGTAGCAAGATTCGTCAAATAGCAAAACCTCCCTGTGAGTAAAGTACATCGTCGCCCGTATACATGCAAATATAACAAAAGAGGGCACAGTTCGTCTATGCGACTGAAAACATGGACGTACTTTGAAACCCAACTCACTGAGTTGGTGGCAGAAGAAGGAAAATTTGATTAGTGGACAAAGAAATGTTCCATGGGGTATGTACTAATTTCATGCCGGATAGTAATAACTGATAGTGGGTGTGGAAGGAGGGAGTAAATTAACTGGTTCAAAAATTCAGCCCCAGCTACAGATTGGAAAAAAAGCAGGCGTAGTCCAGCTGACCAAAAGAATTATTCAGATCATATGTCCAAAACAGAAAACGAAAAGTTTCAAAATCAATAAGCCTAATGTACAGGGTTTCCCAGAAGGATGTATACATTTTGATCGTTGAAAACTTACAGCCTTATACTCCAGAGCAAACTGAATTAACCATCACAACATTCATTCACAATTTAACACAAAATTTCCCCTTTAATATTCACGTGTTACTGTAATAAAACAAATCCCTGATGACAAGGAACTATTCTATTAGGTAATAGAATGAAAATGAAAATAAAAAATAAAAAACTCCGTTTCGTTCCTACCCTTAGACGGAGTAAAGGAATTATTAATAGCCCTCCCCGGAACTCCTCAATAAGGAAGCAAGTATGTGAGCATAACTACTATATGCGACAGGCTCTGAGACTATAAAGTTTTATGGACGCAATTATCGGGTCAATGTAAGCACTTTCAAAGTTAGCTATGTACAATTTTCAGACAACAGTATTTGTTACCAACTACTTGTCGTTCAAAGTTTCGTCTATTGGTAAGTGTTGGAAAGTGAAAAAAAATTTAATCGAATTTGGACCTGGTGACTTCAGACCATACTGAAATAGATATGACGAACTTTCTATATCACATTCGCATGTTTGTAACATATCTACCTCATCTCATGGCTCAAAATCCAGAAAAATTTGGTGAACTTATGCGCCATGTCAGAAAAAAATTGGTGGAAATTTAGCCCTTTGAGAGCTTGTTGATATACTGATGCAAAGAACATGAAGCTCGCAAGTTCTAACAACTGCCAATACGAAAAAAGTGGAAGAAAAATGTTCTTTTTTGGACGATTCTAACGTGCTTACATGATAAATGGGTCTTTAGAACCTTCGAGACGGAGAGGCAACAGAGTTATTGACAATTAAATGTCTCAGTGTTTTTGAACACCTGTATATCAATAGGCAAGAAAGTCGAAAACAAAATGCACGGGGTGGAAAGATATGAGCACGGACCTGTTCATTATCGAATAATCAATATGAGATACATAAATCTGTACTAATTAGCTGCTAAAATGAGGTGCAATCTAGATCGATATGGAAATTCGTAATACATACGTGAATTGAATGCAAATCGAGGTTTATTCTAGCAAAAAAAAATATAATCGCCTCTTGGCATAGGAAGATATTTTCATAAAAAGGGGGAAGGAATATTATGCCAGCGAAAAGATATGACAACAGTTTTACCAATAGAAAATTTGGTTTTTATTCATTTATTTATTTGTTACGCACGTGCCTACCGAAAACGAGAATAATAGTATCATAAAATATAACGCAACAACAAAAAGATAAAACACCCATAAGCGATTTGAGAAGTGATTGTTGGCGCAATGATGAAAGCAGAAAAAGTACCAAGATAACTGGGTAATAGATCCTAGATTTTAGGGTGACATGAGCTGATATAAATTAAGAAAGCCCACTTAGAACGCTCAAAAATATATTTATTTATTTCCTTATTTATTTATTTATTTACTACACACAAGGCGTGCCATAACTAGAACAAAGTGCTGAGAACGTCATCATTAACAGATACAACAACAACAAAAAAAGCATCCAATAAGTCAGCTCAAGCCCATTCACCAAATATTTTGACTAGAACTAAGGATTACTGATTTGTAAACAAAGTTTTTTTTTCGACTTTTCTAGACATGACAAAAAAAACTGTTTCTATTGCATGAGACGCGCCGGCCATAAAGCAAACTAAAAAAACAGGTTTCGCGTTGTCTAGCGACACTTTTAGTGCGTTCACAACCCCAAGGGAGTGTGAATGCTGACTTTCTTCGTTTATTGTTGTGTTTAAGAAAACTGACGGCCTTCAAGTGGATGAAACTCAGTATAAAAGACTTTGACGGGAAGATCTTACGTAAGCAGTGTGGTAGAGCGATCAACAAACACATTTATCGCGTCGTACGAAACCCGCACTAGGCGAAGATCTCGTCGAGAGACCGGTGATCGATTGCATATGGTGTTATTCCAAAGAAATTCGATCGCAACTGATTGATAAAAGTCGGGAAAGTGAAATGAGTGAAGAGGGAAAGTCTTAGAACGTAAAGTTGAACGTAAGGACTCGGCGTTTGCAGGGGCAAGGGTCCATTCAGTGCAGCGTTGCTCTCCGCATGGCTGCGTTCAAGTGCACTATGAGAGAAAAGGAGATCAGAGCTCAAAGGACTATGTGAGCAGTCTAATCTATCAATTTTGCAATGTGCACATTCGCAGCGCCCGTCTAGACAAATTGTCTGGATTAGCTTAGTCAGAAAAAGAGAGAAAAAATAGCTGAGGATTGAATGAGGTGATGTGAGCGCAGCGAAGTATCAAACATGATGCAAGAACCACATTACTTATCTTCGATGGTATCTCGATAAAATATCATCTATTTTCTAGTCGCTAGGTACTCAATACTGCGGATGGACTAACTATATAATTCCACGTGTATCGAAGTTTGCATGAAAAGCGACAGGATATGAGCAAATCTGCAGTCAGAAGAAAATGAGAGTGGAGCGGATTGGTCTCATCGTAAACACTACGAAACGGAACAGCGATTTGGTAGATCAAAGATCAGGGATAAGACGTTTGGTATCACACTGTGATAAAAAGTGTGCAAGTCAATAAACTTTGATTGTTTGCAACATAGAGAATTTTACAATTCAAAACCAGAATAATGAATCATACGGACGGGGAGAGAAAAAAAACGATAAGAACATCCATATCCAAACTAACAAGCGACAGAAAGGTGGCTATACTTATGTGGCCAAGGCCTTTTATCCTTTATCCAGGAGCAAAAGAATATCCAAATAAGCTTATGCTGCGACTGATTATAAGAAAGATCCAAGATGAAAGTCTGCAAACGACTAGACAAGATCAAAAACCAATCCTCAGCAAGCAGCAAAGCAGCTTATCCTAGGTAAATAAGTATATCGCTCATAACATTGTTTGTTTTTGTAAATAAAGTTTTATATTCAAACCAAATGTTCAAGCTACGTTTAATCAAACACACTGCAGAATAAAGAGAAAAAAATGGAGCAACGTGGATAATGAAAATTTGGACGGAAAAGGATGTAAACAATACATTGAACAACCAAACGATTAGAAATACGATAAGAGCAAATTTATTACTAGTTATCGATTTGAAAAGAGATAAATGTCGCAGATTTTTGTTCGACATGAGAGAAGATGAGGCCAAAGATGCAATAATTGCTTTGCTCAGAACATATGTTTATAGCGATGTTTACGTCGTTTGCGATGAAGTTGCTCAGGCTAGTAATTATTATGGAGCAGGAGAAATGTCAATTCTTTGCAAAGTGCAAATCGTTTTTCACTTCGGATGAGCAAAGCCAAGGGGTGAAGTACCCTTGTAATGCCATGCGAATATTGCAGACTTTGAAAACAAGCAAAATCGATGGGGAGCGGGGGAGCACTTGCGGGTGGTCGTCCTGAACCTGGCGGCATTTCTCGCTGCCGCGGACCCATCCGCCAGCGGCCGTGGAAGCCGCCGTCAGGTGAGCGGCGCGCTCTGCTGAACGCCAGCGACCACAGCTCGACGCGATGATTTCGCCCCGTTAGGTTGCGACATTGGCGCTAGCACTATAGCAACAAACAACAACTTGCGAGCTGCGCGCTGCTGGCGGTGAGCTGATCGCGCTGATGTTTGAACTCTAAGCAGCGACCCGCGCGATCGACGAGACGCCGGCGCCGAAACGCTCTGCCCTCGCCACGCGCTTGCTAGGGATGGCGCACAAGCCCTGCAAAAAACCGCGATCACGACGGAGATCAGCACAGCGCCAGACTTCTCTGCTTGTTTGTCGCTAACTTTTCGTGCACGAAACACCATGGCAACAGATTTTGCAGTATTTTTTGCAGAAGCTCATCGCTTCAAGTTCTATTACTGCATGTGTAGGCGCTGTAGTATCAGGCTGGTAAGAAAATTCTCGGACACCGCATTTCGATGAATTGAAACCACGTGAAAGACAAGCGAGGCGGCCCTCGAGGACCTGAACCACGTCGATAGTGACAATCAGATTGGAAGACTCTGTACAGCCATCACCACGATGGTTTGCTGGCCTCAACACTCAAAGCCAGGAGATATGGCCATTAGCAGTTTCGAGAACGAAGATAATTCTTAATCAGTCCTTTGCAAGTGGACGCATGTTTTTAGCTACCATCTAATAGAGCTCTTTACATTTATACCCAGTTTACCCCAAATTTCAGCTATCGTCGAAAAATATAGATTAAAACATGATTTGGTTTTTACTGATCCAAAAAACTGCAATTTTTCACGTTTTTTTTTGCTGTTTTACCTGTAAGTAGAAAGGAATCCCATGTATTTCAGAGGCCATTTAACAGAGCATGAAGAGCTATTTCGTTGCTATGTCATTTGCT